CCCCTCCAGCTCCCTTGTAGGCCCTGATACTTGCATTTGAATCCACCTTCCAGATTCCAAAGCAAACCCACTAAAAAGGGAGTCACAGCTACAATTAGTTCTTGCAATGCAGTAATGACACACATTCGTTTTACTTTCAACGACGAACAGGTGACTTCAGGATACAAAGCAACAACAATAACTAATGCACTTCCATCCCCCTTTCTGGACCCATTATTGTCTCCTTCACTCATGGAAGACTCTGAGCTAAGGCAGCTGGTCTTGGAAATCCTGCATAATCTCATTGATCGGCATGACAACAGAGCAAAACTCAGAGGGATACGGTAAATCTTTTTATTCGCTTTGGCCTACTTACAATCCTAATTTAATATCTGATTGATAACAAATGTTGATTTTTAAACATTTTCCTAATGTGAAATGTTAGTGTAGTGTTTCAGTAAGTGCACAGTGTTCGTTACAGCTAAGCCTCAGAGCACACCTTAAATGACCATTCCAAATATCTGCTAGTTTAACTGTGGAAGACAGAATACACTTTTTATAGAGAAAAAGGATATGAGGTTGTCATAATTCTGTTTATGGTTCTTAGTCTTCAACTGAAATTTGAAGGTCATTGTTAAACATGGATATAATTAAAATGGAAATTGCTTCAGGGCTTGTTTCAATATTTCATACACTTCACATCCTCTTCCCCTTTCAACTTCTTTTTGCTAAAACGACATCTTTGTTTCCTTTGTAGAATAATACCAGATGTTTCTGATCTAAAGATAAAACGAGACAAAATTTCAAGGCAAGATGTGAGCTTCATGAAAAAGGTAATAGAATGGAAAAGTTCACTTTTCTATCTAGAAAGAAGATAAAGTAACCGAACCAGTTGCTTTGCTTTTTTTCTACAAATGCGATTTTGCAACAAGTAAAATTGAGTAATTTTAATTCAAATTACAGGGACTTCAGTATTGAGGTGCTCTAGATATTTGAGAGGTGGTTCAGTGGCATAGAATTTTAATTTATGTCTCCAGTGAAAATCATTGCAAGTATGAAATTAGAGCAGTGTATACATAAACCATGATTCTGAAAAGACCTCCCTGAAGTTAGATCCCCGTGCAGCATTTCATTTATGCTTGGTAGCAGTTTTTCATTTGTATGGCTTTTATTTTGATGTATTTTCAGATATGCTTTTATTCAAAAATCTTTTTCAGAAACCTTGATACAGGGTCTTGTGTCTTATGTTTTAAGTAAAGATGTCGAAGGAAGTTAACTTAGAAGAAAAAATGCACCTCCTTTCAAAATTGTTTCTGCAGGGCATCATGCCAGTTGACATCCGAGTATGTTTGGTGCTAAAAAAAACCCAGAATTTTTTAGACGATGCTTAGGTGGAGTGAAGTTCCTCCTTTACAATAAACACCTTACTTTGTACATGGGAAAAATGCATATTGTTACTGGTGTGCTCATTCCTGACTATTGTTTATCTGTGTAGGTATGTTTGTAAACAAAACATACCAATTACTGAAGTCAGCTCAAGCAGGCTGTAAACAATGCTTATCACTCTTATCTGTCTGAGGAAAGTTACTGATTTCTCACAGCTGTCCCATGCTGCTTTGGTTTGGTTTCCTATTAGCTGTGAAATAAAAAATGCATGTCTTCAGAGAGCTGACTTAATCTTCTAATTATAGAAATCAGAAGAATTGCCATTTAACTTGTCTAGAGGCAAAACTACTTTATGTAAGATAATATGCAAAATAGCATTATGTGGCTTGCAAGTACCATTGGAGATACATGTTTTTGCTAAGTTAGTACAGTTGGTATTCCTTGCGGTATATTTACACCTGTTTTGATTAATACTGGAATAATACAAAGATAAAGAATAATCCAGCTTTGGCGATTACTAGTAATGTATCTTTATAAAAACTGAATTAAATTTTAATTCATCATTTTAATATCAAGAATTTAAAACAGTTTGGATAGCTTTATTTACAGATTTTGCTAGGTGAAAATTTTAATCATCAGGCTAAATATTTGAATTGTTAACACATCTGAAAAAGAGGGTAGGAGAGGAAAACAGATTCTTAACAGGTCAAGAAAAGTTTATATAGTCTTCTAAAAAGTGTAATAACCCAGTAGGATGAAGTCATTCAATAATTGTCTATGTGATACCATTCAGGTGCATATCATAAACCTAATGTAACTCACCTAGATTAGATGTGTATATGTTGCCAGCCTACGCTTCCTAGATTCCTTGCATATTCAAAGGAGAGTGTGAAGCACCTCCAGAAGTCCCGTGAAGATCTGAATGACCATCTAGGCTTGTTTGATCTTAGATGGGGATCCTAAGGCACAAATCTCTTATCTCCATCCACCTCCTCAAAGCCAGGAGATTTATTTCAGTCCTTTCTTTAAAGGGAAATGTTGAACTACTTCCATTTTACAGTCTTCCTGAAAGATACTATGTGTTGAGAAAATCAACATAATTATTTTTATATCTGGGTGTAGTTCTTCATCAGTGGGATGAATTACTTTTGTTTTCCAAATTCACTGTGTCTTTAAACAGCTAACCTTTACTGTGCATATTTCATAGCTTCTGTGTTTTGCTAATAGCTCAGCATCCCTCTTTTCTAACACAGGTTTGAATAACTATATATTTGATTTCAGAATTAAGAAGATGACTTCCAGCATCTTTATTATTTAAGTGAATATGTCCTTGAAAAACAGATGTTAAAATTAATTTTATTTCTGCTTTTAAAGCTGAACTAGTACTTCAAGAGGTAGAGCATCGGTCCTTAGGTCTTGAAAATTAACTGTGTCACTGATACAGACCTGTATCCTGTACAGATTAGGAATGCTGGGGTTGTACTGAGTCATGTGTTGAATGCAAAGCCTGCTTCTTACCCTGCCTTTTTGTGGGTTTGGTTTTTTTGTGTTGAGATAATAGTATCTTTACAAAGAATTGGTTAAGCAGTGTTACAAGGAAAGGAAAGTCTCCTTCTAAGTTGAGGGTCTTCCAATAGGCAACCCATGTTCTTCACTAGATCTAGATCCTCCCTGTGCACAGTGTAAGTGAGCCCTGATTATCTTCTGAAACACCCTCAAGAAGAATTGTTTTCAGTTTGCTAATCAAGCAGACTTGCTTAATTAGATGTCTTCACAAGGATAACCCTTGAAGCTCCTCATTTTCCTTAAACTTTCTTGAGAGTGTTTCAAGATATATTTTTTTATTTTCTCCTTTTCACAAATGGGCAATTTTTTTCTGAATATTTCAGTAGGAAATGAATGCTGATGCCTGACAGTGCAGTAGTTCATGTGCAGTTCTCTGTATCATCTTCCCCATCTGTATGCTTACACATGAAATAGAACAGTACTGTATTTGTAAAGAAGTTTCTGTTGTGGTAATAAACCAGTGTTCTTGACTAAGCCTGTACTTGTTTGTGTATGTGTGTGCATGTCTATCCATGTATTTTATCCTTTCTTATTATTTTAATTCTCTATCTAAAATGATCTAACATGTAAGTTGGTCCTGCTTGGAATAGGAGTTGAGTAGAGAAGCTTTAAATGTCCTTTGTAACCTAGATTATTCTGTGATTTTAATACTAATCTTCCCTTTTTTGTCTTTTTTAGCATGGTCAGCAGTTGTACAGACACATCTACTTAGGCTGTAAAGAAGAAGATAATGTCCAAAAAAACTTTGAACTGCTGTTTACATCTCTAGCTCTTACCACGATTGAACTAGCCAATGAAGAAGTGGTTATTGACCTCATTCGATTAGCTATTGCTTTGCAGGTATGAGTCTGAATCAGTGTTGTGTTCACTGATTGATGGTTTGTATTTGTATCTGGAGATGTGGATAACTTCTTTTGTTTCCATTTTGGTCTTCGCATTGGAAATCACATCATTTAGTCCTAATGTGATCAATCCATTAAGGAAGCGCACTTTATACATAACACGTATTATAAGGAAGCTCCAACTAACCACACTTGTTACAAACTTCTACAGCATGTTCTCTTCAGGAAATGTAGCAGATGTGGAAATTTGTTGAAACATTCCCTAGAATCACTGATTGTTCATTAGCAGTCTGACAAGGTAGTCTACAACCTGTGACCTTGCGTCAGTGTTCCGTGTAAAATACATGGACTGTCCTAACCTTGAAAGAAAGGTTTTGGTTAATTGATTGGTTGGAAGTATTTGTCAAACCAGGCTATTTAATCTTAGTTTAGAGTAAAATTGGATCAGTGTGTTGACAGACTTTGTTTCTTAACATTTCCTTTACAGGATCAAGCATCATTTCATACTTGCCTACAATCCTCAGTGGAACTGTATGACTTAGTAGGTGTATCTGTGTATAAATTTAAGCATTCAAAAAAACCCCAAAAACCAACAAAACCAGTGCTAGCATGTGCCATGGTAATTTGATGAAATTGTGTCCTGTACTTCTAGTTCACTCTCTGTCATTATTAGCCTTATTCCCCAATGTGCACCTGCATTAGGAAACCTCTGAACTGCAGAATGTCTTCATAATTTAAAATATGTCTCTGAATCAAATCCTTACTTGGTGAAAATGTCATTATGTGTTTACTAGAACAAAAATAATGCAATCTAAATAAATATAGAAATACTAATAAGCATTAACTAAGTCCTTTTATGGTACTGTATCTGTGTTTCAGGAGAGTGATTTTTATTATTAAACTACTGGTTCTAATTTTCCTGAAAAAAGTTATTATCAGCAGGTGGTAAGGTTAAGAGACTGCTAGTCATTAACCTGTACTCTCTTTCTGAGAAAGGGAAGTTTGAGTTGAGTAGATTTATTTCTTTTTATAGAGGTTGAATCCTTCAAGGTTTCTTAACTACAGATCAATATATACCTAATTTAGGAGTGAGCTAAAATACTAGGATTTTAGGATGAGTGGTATTAAATGCTAGATAATACTAGATAGTCATCATATGTCAGCTAGTGTTACTGCTAATAATTTTGACTTCCCTATATTTGAAACAGCCAGTTAACTTTGGAGAGTATAATCCTGTCATCTATATTTCAGGACATTGCCATCATCAATGAGGATAATCTGCCAATGTTTAATCGTTGTGGTATCATGGCATTGGTTGCAGCGTATCTAAACTTTCTGAGTCAGATGATTGCAGTTCCTGCCTTTTGTCAGCATGTCAGCAAGGTAATACATAATTAAGTAATTTAAATCATTTAGAACAGTACACATTCTCCTGTAAAATGGGTAAATCTGTGAAGTACTTGCATGTGGTGTTGATCCCCTGTATTTGAGTCCACCAACATTGCTCTTTGTCTTCGGTCTCCGAAGACGTTACTTGCTGACTCTTAAAATTATGCACAGAATGTTATTCTCTCAAGGTATAGCTTTTTTATTTTGTCTATGCTACCATATATAATGGGCTACCTTGTATAAAACTTTACAACCTCACTGACCTTAGCAATACAGTACCAACATGGACAAGACCATGAGAACCAGATTTTTAGTCTAAAAGGTGAGTGCCACAGTCATCATCTCTGGTTAAAAGAAATTCTAAAGGCTGAGGTAGATGTTACTGAAAGATTGGTAATCTGCTACAGCAGAACGTCTTTAAGTAACTCAGTCATTGGAGAAATCAACTATGGAACTACTCCATTTATACTACTTGTTTTCTTTTCAGGTCATTGAAACTAGAAGTCTGGAAGCATCTTATTTTCTACCAGAAACAATTTTCAAAGACAAATGCAAGTAAGTAGATACAGAGTGTGAATTAATGAACAGTGAAGTATATTAAAAGTTTCACATCACTGAAATATGTTGCATGTGAAGAATAATTCAGAGGTTTAATAGTGTACAGGATAGCAGAAGAAAACCAAGCATGAAAAGCATATATGCGTATATGAAAAGTGTGCTTTACATACTTTCTGTTGTAGCCTGAGGCCCTTACATCTGCACAATATGATGTTTGATTTAGGGGCTAATACAACAAAATCCTTTTCACTGAATCGCAGAATGGGTGGGAGGAACCTCTGGAGACCATCTGGTCTACCTCCCCTGCTCAAGCTGGGTCACCTAGAGCAAACTGTCCAGGACACATCCAGATGGCTTTGGAATATCTCCAAGGATGGAGACTCCACAGCCTCTTTGGGCAACCTGTGCCAGTGCTTGGTCACTCTCGCAATAAAAAAAGTGTTTCCTGATGTTCAAACACAACCTTCTGTTTGCCAGTTTGTGCCCATTGCTTATGGCTCTGTCACTGGGCACCACTGAGAAGAGCCTGGTTCTGTTGTCTTTCTACCCTCCCTCCCCTAAGGTAGTTGTACATGTTGATAAGATCCACCTTTTTCTCCACGCTGAACTGTCTCAGCTCTCTCAGACTTTCTTCATTGGAGAGATGCTCCAGCCCCTTAATCCACCTTAGTGGCCTTTCGCTGGACTCTGCAGGAAGTCCATGTCTCTCCTGTCCTGGGGAGCCCAGCACTTGACACAGCACTCCATGAGTGGCCTTTCCAGTGCTGAGTAGAGGGGACGGATCACCTCCCCTGCTGGCGACACTCCTCCTAATGCAGCCCAGGGTACCGTTATCCATTTTTGTCGCAATGGCACGTTGCTGGCTAATGGCAAATACTATGACTCTGCATTTTTTTCCATTTAAGAGAGACCATGTTATATCAAGATGTAGCAGAATAGGTGAGGAACGTAATTTAGATAACCAAGACGTGTTAACGTAATTTAAAACATTGCAGAGGTATTCAGTGGACTCATTTTGGAGTGTATATTCATTCCTAAACAACTGAGCAGGTTGTATCACATCATCGCCACTGACCCTTTTTGGTTGCTTGCAGACATTATAAAAGTATCTTACTTAATGAAGAAATCTCTATTGGTAGTTAATAACTTCAAATATATATTTTCACAGTCTTCCAAAATCCTTAGAGAAGCATGAAAAAAATTTATTTTTCCTGACAAACAAGATTGCAGAATCATTAGGAGGCAGCGGATACAGCGTGGAAAGACTGTCAGTTCCGTATGTACCCCAGGTAACAGGTAAGTGACGATTAGTGGCAAAACTGCTAAGTACCAGTTATTACGAATGCTCCCTTAATCTGTGGTGGGCCAGTGAAATGTAATGTGACTACTTGGCAACAAAACAGAAATCCTAGTATAATTTTGTTTTCTCAAGTTTTTTTCTCGTTTGCTACAGTATAATAGCTAAGAAGTTTCAACTTCGTGTTCTTTTAAGATTTTTTGCTTTTCCTCAAATTCAGAGGAGGGGCAGAAAGTTCTTGAACCCACTTGGCCTCTCTCTAATGAAGTCTTCGCCTTTGTAAGAATACCTAAGATGATAACAGTGATTATTACTGTTTTTTTGTGTTAATTTGAGTTAGCAGGTGAAGAAGCATTATACAAGTCAGCATACTTTATCCTTGCTGTGTAAACACTGGATGGAACATACCCATCCTTTTGCCATCTGGTCTTATGCTGACTAGAGTTATTGGTACTAGTCGAATTCTCAATGAGCAGGTACTATGTTTTCCTCCATTAGCTGCCTATGGTAGCTTAGTGCCAGGTAACACAATGAAAATAAAGTATGCCAGAAGAAAGTCTGTGAGACTTTCTGCTACCCAAAGTGTGTGTGAATGACTAACTTAGTATGTGATTCCTGTGTTTTGTAGCTCACACATAGAAAAAACCATATTACATATGGACAGGAAACACCAGGTCTGTCACACTTTGAGTATGATTCAGAGACATTGCTGCCTGCCTTTGAATAAGCCTTTTTGGGAGGTAACGAGTTCTTCAGAACAGCAGATGTGGGTTTGTCCCATGTGCTAGCAGGCAAACTGGTGATATGTTCTGAGACACAGCTGCAATGTCTGTGTTTTCTGTTGCTGGTTATCATTTTCTAAAAAGGAAAATGTTTCTATACTTGACATTATTTCTTCTGGCATCCAAAAAAATGGTTAACATTATATATATTTTAGTATTGGCAGAAGGGAAAGGTAACAAGTAAGGAAGTGTTATGTTTTCAATTTTTACTGTCTTTGAGTGAGTGAATGAGAATTAAATGAGAAAGAAAGCCTGGTTTGAAGTTTATATTAATCCTCTCTAGAAAATTACATACATTTATACCCAAATGACCTTACCAGGGTTTTCTTGGGTAGTTGCATAAAAATGCATTCCTACACAGGAAGATCTGACAAGGTTGAGCAAGTTTAGCTGCAAGTATGTGATGAACTGCCTCTTCAGATGATGAGAAATGGCCATATTTAATGCTAAATCCTGGAGTATGTGAATCGGATGGGGGGGGGGATTTTTTGTGTTGTGGTCTTTTGCAAAGAGCAGTAACCGAAACTGGGTTTATGTGTGTTATAATATCTGACTAGGATCATGACTCTGATCCTGTGAGATACTGAGCTTCTAAGGTGTTCAGTTAACTAAATCAGGGCCAAAGTGAATATTTTGGAATTCTAAAGGTTTTCATTTTGACTTAAATGTTTCATTTATACAATTACATTACAATGCTAGAATGTATTTCAAATATATTTCAAATATATTTCAAAATATAGCAGTACTTTTAGTAAAGGATGGATCTATTTTTTGTGCATTGTCGTGAAAGTAATGGTTAAACCCAAAAAGCCAGTAAAGATTTCATCCTAATTATTTCTAGTAGTTCTGAACATTAATGATGTAATGCTTAACAATGACTCGGAGGCATAAAATCATCATCCTGACTGTTTCAGTTTTTGGTACTTCTTATCACTTTGAAAGACATTCATATTTGCAACCTTGTTCACTTCCTTATTTGGGATAGGAGGGAAGCTGATAATTTAAATGTACATTTAACATTTTTTTGTCTGTACCTATATAATTATTTTTAATTTAGCTCTGTTTCCATTAGGCAAAAAACCTCATAAATGCAGGCACAAGTCAAAAGGTAAAACTGAGTTGTAGGTCAGCCTGCTCTCCTGCTAGCTGTGGTTTGTGTATAGGATGTGCACAGTCAAAAAAACCAAATGCTTTTAGATTACCTTTAGGCCAGAAATTGTGTTGTACTTAGTGTTTCCTTCCGCTTCTTTTTATTGTTTATCTCCTTGATATACCTGTAGCAATGTTAGCTGCTGCAAGGTTTGCCTTTGTGTTTGCTCTTGATTTGGAGCTCTACAATATCGTAGCTTCCTGTTTTCTTTTCCTGAGCAGGTAGTAGGGCTAGAGGTAATTTGTGTGATAGTACTAATGACTTCTTTGTGTGAAATTACAAGAACTTGGTAGAAAGTTGGAAGAAGCTCACGGCTCTTCACAGAACAGTGTTTCATCTTACTCGCTGGCTATTGAGGATAAAGGTCCATTAGTGGGACATATATATGTGCATATGTTCTGTCTGCATCCCTGTAGTAGCTGGGCTTAGCCACTGTCTACCCACCAGCTGTCCCAGGTTCCCAGTCTCCTCAGTCACAGGCATGTGAGTCCCCAAGGCCCACGGTACCAGTCCAGCCGTTGGTGCAGGTCCCCATGTGCACAGTAGCGCACACGTCCGTGCACACCTCTCAGTCAACCCCCAGGCTCCCTGCTCTTTCTGACAGTAGGCCTGGGCCTCCTGGTCCCTCCAGTTGTACCCCTCTCCAAGACAGACTGACACACATGGACACCCCAGCTCCCAGGCCACTTGACCTCCCCGCCTGCTGTTCCAGCTTGATACTCCTTCATTGCCGTGCACTGGTGCTGTGCCCTCACTCGCTGCACACACCTGGACAAAATAGAGTCCCTCACCCAGGAGAAGAGAAATGGGGTTTAATGGGAAGATACAACAGGCTGTACTGACGAGGCTCAGGACATGGCCAGAGGCATGTACTGATCAGCAACTGGTTTACATGGGACTGATGCCATTATCCCCTTATCCCTCTATTTTCCTTGTTTGCTCCTTCTCAAACAGTCTCAATCCTCCTTTTCCCCACCATTGATTTCCTCCCCTAATCATCCCATACTAAGCCTTGTGCAATCCCAAGATGCTGTATCCCATAATAGGATACAAGATGCTGATATCCCGTGTATCCCATAATGAGTCCCATTCCCTAGTCACTGATCCCACCTCAGTCAGTGAGGTGACCAGAGGGCTGCTCCCATTGCCCCAAAGGGGTGGGTGCCATTCCCAGCTGCTGGGCCAAGACCCCTGGGACAGCCCTGGCAGGGACTGGGGCAGTGGGTGCTGGGGCTCTAGCACTTCCCTCATGCCACTGGACTCCTTCGTGTGCGGGAAGACGAGCTTTATACCATATAACAGAAAAAAATGCCCTTTTCACATTTTTTACCAACTTGTGTTGGTACCAAAAGATGTTAAAAATGGAGACAAATGGGCATTTTTATCAGGCGTGTATAGTGAGGCATCCATTCCAAAATTAATTCTATCCAAATTGGTCCCAAAAAGGTATTTTCTGGTGTTTGCATGTCAGTTACAGAGAGAGCAGCAAGGTGGCAGCAAAGATGCAGTTTTGTCTTGTGTTTACACTTGAGGGCTAAGGTCCTTTCCCCAGACTCTGTATGTACTGGGTCGTCTACCAGTAAGCCGTCAGGGATTAAAAATTAAGTAAATCCTTCAAAATGCCACTTGAAATGTTTGAGGACTCTGAGAACCTGGCAAAGATAGCTAGAATTCAGGTGTTTTTCACCAATCTTGTTCTTCATTGCCTCTTGATCTTCAAATGCCATCTCATTTATATGACTTCTGGAATTTATTTCTTGATTTTTAAAAGCTGAGTATGTTCAGCTCTGCTGAAATGAATTCTGTTTGTTCACGTTCAATATTTGCACTGCAGTAGCGCTTGGCTAGAAGTGGTTTAAACGAAGGTTGCAGAAGAACCGGCGTAAATTACCTTGTGGTTGGGGTTTTGCAGCCGTTCTCCTTACCTTAGTGCTTCTAACTGTGTGCAGTGCAGGTCATCAAACAATAATGGCCAGGGCCAAAGGGCTTGATCTCAGCTAAAATCTGAAATGTGACATCGCAATTCGTGGGTTGGTAAATGAGATACATGAAAGTCACCCAAGTTTCCATTTATCAGACAGTCCTCAGGACAAGTCTGTAAATGTATTTTTATTGTAGTTTTTAATCTTATGTTAATACATTCAGTATCAAAAAGGAGAAAATACTATTGTTGTCTTGTCTCAGGAATGCAGCCACAGAAGGAAAATACATCAACTGTTGGATCATTTGATTGTAATTTGCTTATGCATTAATGAAATCATGGTGTTCCTTTTAGTAGCAACACAGTTGGTCTTATTATGGCAAATTTTTAGGCCGGCTGAACTTACTTAAATTTTTGTAGGAAGTTAGGAATGGAGATTTTTTTTTTTTTCACCAAGAAGATGCTTAGACTGACTGAGTATGGTACTTGTAGCCGCAAGAATAAGGAAGGATTGTTGTTTGCTTCCATTCAGAAATCTTTATTTCTTCTGTCAACAAGTGATCTTGCAAGAAGCCCTTCTCTGTTTCAGAATACCTTCCAATTAAGACCTTAATATTTCAATTTCATAACAAAAAAAATAAGTCCAGGCTTTTGTAAATTACTCTGCAGCGACATGTCATCATATGCTATGTTATTTATTCTGCATTTGAGTAAGATCTCATCTCATTTTTTGAAATTCTGGGCTTTCAAGGATATGTTGGCAAGATCTGGGGTGAGATGGAGAAGGGACAATAAAAAGGTTATTTTCCTTCTTATTTAATTATTTAAAATCATAGACTGGTTTGGGTTGGAAGGCACCTTAAAGACCATCTAGTTCCAACCTCCCTGCCATGAGCAGGGACACCTTCCACTATACCAGGTTGCTCAAAGCCTCATCCAGCCTGGCCTTGAACTCTTCCAGGGATGGGGCATCCACAGCTTCTCTGGGCAACCTGTTCCAGTGCCTCACCACCCTCTCCAGGAAGAACTTCTTCCTGGTATCTAATCTAAACCTCCCCACTTTCAATTTAAACCTGTTACCCCTTGTCCTGTCACTACAGGCCCTTGTAAACAGTCCCCCCCAGCTTCCTTGTAGCCCCTTCAGGTACTGGAAGGCTGCAATAAGGTCTCCCCAGAGCCTTCTCTTCTCCAGGCTGAACAAGCCCAACTCTCTCAGCCTTTCATCATAGCAGAGGTGCTCCAGCCCTCTGGGTATTTTTGTGGAGCAGTAACTGATCATGTTTCACAACAACGATAAACTAGATGATCTTGGCTTAAATAGGCATATAGACACAAACCTGTATCTGGCGTGTAGAAATATGGACATGTTTCAACTGTTACACAAAAGGTGAGGTAAGGTATTTTTCTTCTAGATGAGGACAGACTTTCCAGAAGAAAGAGCATTGTGGACACGGTATCTCTTCAAGTGGATATTCTGCCTGGCAACAGCACAGAGGATAAGGTATGAAAATCAAAGGGTATTTTAAAGCAGCATCTTCAGGGCGGGAGGCAGGCAGGACGGAATTGCAAATGAAGTTTTCTCAGTAAGTCTAATATCTGATTATTCTAGAAATCTTAAATACTTTGGGGCTTTGTATCTTTTTCCACTCCTGTATTTGTAGAAATGTGTTGTCAGAGATACTTACAGTGATCTTCATGTGTAAAAATGTATTTTGTCACTACAGTTTTTACAGATAGTACTGCAGGATATGGGGTAGCAATAGATATATACAACTAATATTTTATGAGTAAATGTACTCAAATATTTTCATTGCATTTTGAGGGATCAAATAAAAGCCCTGCATCTGTATCCCTGCATCATTTGAAGCGTCTGAGAGTCTTGTTCATCAACACGGGGCTGACAGGTACAGGACTAGTGGGAGACCTGCTGTCTTTGAGAGGGGCAGGTAAAGACTAGGCAGGCTACATACGCCTGGTGGCACAGTATCACTTTTCCCTTCCAGAAGAGTTTAGCACACAGTGCTTTAAAGACACGGGAAGGATAAGATAGCAACAACAGTTCATATGGAGGGTACAAGAGCTGTTGCTAATTATCCCTTAGGAAGACTGTGCTATAATTAAAATTATCCCACATCTTTTGACATTTCATTTGAAGAATTTCTTAAAATAAATTTCCAGTTCTACTGAATCTTTTTCAAGGTTCTGCTGATTTTTATTAACCAGATTGCTGCTGCCTGCAATGGGGATTAGCTGTTGAAATTGAGGTGTTTGTACATGCAAATGAATCCTACCTTTAGCATTAAAACAAAACTGGCTAGGGACATGAAACAGAATGTGGGGACAGAGGCAAGATGAGTATTAGTTAAAAACTGCAATGTTAAGTTACTGCAAAGGAACATACCTCATTTTAGAACTTACTGATGGAAGTGATTTATGTTTCACATCATTATTATTCAGCTTTGTGCTGATGCCTCAGATGGTATTCTTTGTTCGTTTCTTCCTGTTGTGATTTAACAAGGATACAGATAAACTAGATAAAAGCTTAGGAGAAAGAAGAAATAAGTGCTTGAAAAATAAGACAGATTTTCACAATCTTTAGCTTTCTGAAGGAAGTAAATGCTCCTGATAGTAACAAGGGTGTTTGCCATTAGTATCCTTTTCTAATCTCATGTATGATATGTGATTGTCATTGCTTTTGAAAGTGGAAGTAAATGAGAGGAGCTTCCATTTCAGATTTCAAATTATTATGCTGATGTTAAGCATTGATAAATACACATTTCTGAACAATATATAGCAGTTGCAGGTAAATCAAAATCTGTGTATGGTTCTCAGTTTAACCTGTACAGTGTCTTGGATAATGAATTACTGTTTATCTCTTCTAAAACCAAGAATTTTATTAATCAGAAACACATGAAACACAGTATTCCTCCTTCACTCACTTTACAGTGTTTGTTGACAGTGCAAAGGGAAAAAACAGTATTTTCCAATTTGATGACTGCAAATTGGTCTTGATACTGAAATAATGAACATCTGAAAAACTTCTACAGAATCATTGACTCACAGAATTATTTACGTTGGAAAAGATCCTTAAGATCATGGTGTCTGACCCTAAACCTCACACTGTGAAGTCCACCACTGAACCATGTCCCGACGCGCTACCTCTACATATCTTTTAAATACCTCCAGCAGTGGTGACTCAACTACATCCCTTGGCTCCTCTTCCTTTAATAATGGTTCTCTGTAATTTTTGCTAATTCTTTTTCCCTCATAATGCATGTTCTTGGCAACTTGAAGCAACATTGGATGTAATTGAAGAGGAGGAAAAAAAAAGTCAAGGATATTAAATCTGGTTCTCTTGCTATGTAGATTAGTAAATACAACATAACCCATAACTGTCAGCAGATTTAAACCGAAAAAAAAAAAAGCATAAGGCTTTATGATTGAGAGGATAAACTAATTAATTAATGGAAGTTTTAGGATTAATGATGTATGGTATCATTTTTACACTGTCAGATGTAGAAGGCTATTATTCTAAACAATAAGAATGCAATTCTTTTATCAGCATAAAGTTGTTTGTTGTGGCAAGTCTGTTAGTGAATCCTCCTAAGGAAGATTATTCCATAGATACCTCCATTTGCAAGATGAAGGCACTTTCAAAAGCAGCTAGTGCTTCTGTGATATTAAAAACCAAATATAATGCTGGCTAATACCAGCAACTGCAGTACATGTTAATTAGAGATCTGAAAGACTGTCATAAACAAGTAGTATTTACCAAATCTGAATCGTATAAAAGTTTATGACTTCAAAACCTCAATACTTGTCTATAGCCATATCCACAAATAATTAACAGGTTATTTTGCTGTTATAAACCTTTTATATATTCAGAGATAGAGAATACAATGCTAAATAGTAATATCTGTTAGAAAAGTAATTACAGCTGCATCTCCTGAAGTAACACTGGTGTAAAAAGGAAACAGCTACTTCTTCAGGCTTTTTCTTGTGGTTTAACTTCAAGATGCAGCTCAGCCCCACACCAGCCGCTTGCTCACTCCACACCAATGGGATGGAGAAGAAAATTGTAAGGATGAAAGTGAGAAAGCCCATGGGGGGTGAGATAAAGTTTAATAGGTAAAGCAAAAGCCACTCACACAAGCAAAGCAAAACAAGGAATTCATTCCCCACTTCCCATGGGCAGGCAGGGGTTCAGCCATCTCTAGGAAAGCAGGGCTCCATCACGCCTAACAGTTACTTGAGAAGACAAATGCCATTGCTCCAAACATCCCTCCCTTCCTTCTTCTTCCCCCAGCTGTATGTGCTGAGCATGACATCATATGGTATGGAATATGCCTGTGGTCAGCTGTCCTGGCTGTGTCCCCTCCTAGTTTCTTGTGCACTCCCAGCCTCCTCGCTGGTGGGGTGAGGAGCAGAACAGGCCTTGACTCGGTGTAAGCACTGCTCAGCAATAATGAAAACATCTCTGTGTTATCAGCAGTGTTTTCAGCACAAATCTAAAAGGGAGCCCTATACTAGCTGCTGTGATGAAAATTAATTCTACCCCAGCCAAAGCCAGCGCAATTTTCCATTTACAGTAGGTCAAGTAATGAATTTATCAGTTGCAAGATTTCAGAGTCTTCTGAATTTGGTGAAATAACTTTTTGCTCCCTTACAGTTCTTTTATCTTAAATCATATTAGACCATTCTATACAATTAGTATTTATAAGGAAAAATAAAATGTTGCTGTTTAATCCTTCAAAACTAACACATGTAAAGTAAGGGAGACCAAGCCAAGAAACCCTGGTATACTCAGGTAAACGCTGTTTTGCCCTCTAAGCATTCTCCCCTGATAATATCACAGTGGTTGCACTGTAAATACACTGACACAGAAACCGTCAGTCTGTAAAGAATTGAGACATAACGATCCATGAGCTGCAGATCTTCAGAGGAATATTCATGCATCTCTGGTAATTTTGCAGCCCCAAGCGATTCCTAATGAAGTGCATCTGCAGCAGCAAAGGGATATTCATATTGCTAAATGAACACATTTTCTCAGTGCGTCAGACATAGCTTCTTATGAAGAGCCCTTTCGCTCCAGTGTTTATGACATAAGTACCAGATTATTTGAAGCCCACACTGGTGTGAAGTTAGCCTGAAGCAATAACCATTTCCCACTCTACCCTTCAGTACCATCTCCCATTTCAGTATCACATCGCCTGTAGCTCACCTAGTCTCTGAAAGCAGTTGCTGTTATTCGCAACAGCGAAGGATCGGTGCTGAGGCGTAACAGTGTAGAAACACCACAGCGTATTCCTGACCCAAAGGAGTGTTCTGCCAAAACTCAAGTCCTTTTCCAAAAATATTGTTGCTATAGAGCATCTTGACCAGAATTTAGAAAGTTTTCTTTGCTAAAAATTTCCTCACTAAGTGCAGTGGATTAGAAACGTGAATTAGTCATCTGTCAGATATCATAGAAACTCCAGATACAGCTATTAAAATCTGGTAAGGCGGAAAAGTTCTGTGGCCATTTTGTTCTTCCGTTATTTATCACATTCTTTATTTTTTGCAAGTTTGTTACATGTGTGGTTTAAGGGGTTTTGTTTCTTTGTGTTTAGGTTGATAATACTGAAGAAATCACCTTTGAAGCTTTGAAGAAAGCAATTGGTAAGACTTACTACAGTTGTGTTTATGCAGCATAGTTCTAGATGACTGTGGAATCACTAGAGAAAAAAGTGTTGCCGGAATAACATAATTAAAATATTACATTTTTTTCCTCTTCAGCTAGTAAATTTATTTAAAACTTGAGTTATTAATTTATGAAATTATGATCTGATATCTTGATAATTTTAGTAATTCATTTTCTGAAGTTAATGTGACTGAATGAAAAGCATCTGGAAATGCCTTTCATCTATTGAATTTGCCCTTATAGGCCAAGCTATAAATACCTTGAGATTTTCAAGTTCCAGTGAGTGGTTATCTATTAAATATTTTTAAAGTATTAAGACTTTCAGGTCTGAAGTGCATGCAGAAAATAGATTGTAAGGCACGCATTGTGGATTTCAGAAACACTCTGGTTTTTTAAAAGAATATTTTTCTGGCAAGCAACTCAGCCACCAGAACTCAGAATTATCCAGTTTCCTTATTTCATATCACTACAATTCCTAATTAATGCTTTCCAGTCCACCAAAATCTGGTCAAAAATATCGATTAAACACAAATGGTTTAAACAATACACATTGACATTTTAAACAATAATTCAATCTGACAGTTTTCTATACCTGCCTAATCACTGAGGTACTTCATTAGATACTGGAAAGTTCCAGCTGGTTGTGGGTTCACTCAGCCTATGGAGGTTAAACTCGCTTTTCCCAAGTTCTAATAGAAAATTCTGCCCATCTGTCTGCATGATACTGGGAGGGAGGATACTCCCATCTTTTGTCTTGAAGCTGAACTTGTGTGATGTGAGAAGTCTTGAGTCCATATAATAAAGGAAAAGGAAGCCTGGATGTGCTTGTAATTAAAGCACATAGTAAGAAAGGGCCCAAACTGGGGTCCTCAAACCAGCTCCCTGAAATTGTATCTGCATTTGCTTTAGAAGCAATGACAGATGCCAGCTCGCTTGAGTAGGGTTGCATCACTTCAAATACAGTGCTCCTTTGCTTCTGCAGTGCACGTATATTGGTACGCAAAGATTACATTTGTGGGTTTTTTTTCTTTTTTTCTTCAGATAACAATGGACTTGAAGAACAGGAAAAGGAAAAAAGGCGCCTTGTGATTGAGAAGTTCCAAAAAGCACCATTTGAAGAAATCGCAGCACAATGTGAAACCAAAGTGAGTTTCCGAAAAAGGTTTTACAGCATTGAATATACGAGTACAAGCACTAAGGGAGATGTGCTGGCTAAAGGCGATTTGTGTTATCATGGCACTGCTGCTGTTACTTCTAAAGTGTTCAGTTCCTTGTCTTCAGCTCTTGTCCCCACTATTATCGATGTTGGGAAATTCCTGTTATTTAATGTGTGCATTTGATTGTTCCCAGAGCATTTGAAAAGGAATAGAAATCCCATACGTCCTTTATCTGAATGTTTTCCTTACTGTCTTTGAAACCTAGATTAACAGTCCATTCCTATATCATCCTTGGATAATTGGAGCAGTATTTACCTCATTATAGATTTTGGATAACTAAATGTATTTCAGGTTTGTTAAACTATCTGCAACAGCAAAATCTGCTATATAATTCCAAGACAGGCTCACTCAATCTCACATGCCTCTTCAGGGCTTAGAATCTTTAAGCAGTGAGAAAAGACATGGAGGTAGGAAATGCTATAGATTTACCATGTGGTGATGTGGAACACACTCACTGAGTGTGCCTTGCACATCATTTTAGCTTGGCTCCATGTATAGTAGTTAATAAATCAATTTTAATCTTTTTTCCTAGGCAAACTTGCTTCATGATAGACTTGCACAGATACTGGAACTCACCATTCGGTAAGGTTTTGTGCAAAAAGAATACGATGAATGAAACATGAGTTACAAAGCAGTTGTAGCTACTTTCAGGTGCTCGTGTCATAGCATTCAATATGTGATAGGCAGAAAATTGACTGAACTGAATATTGTGGTTTAACCCTGGTAGGCATTTAAGCCCCATGCAGCCTCTTGTTCGCTCCATCTCAGTGGGATGGATAAGAAAATTGAAAGGATGAAAGTGTGAAAGCCCATGGGGTAAGACAAAGGCGGTTTAATAGGTAAAGCAAAACAGGGAATTCATTCCCCACTTCCCACGGGCAGGCCGGTGTTCAGCCATCTCCAGGAAAGCAGGGCTTCATCACACATAACGGTTACTTGGGAAGACAAACAACATCACTCCAAACGTCCCCCTCTTCTTTCTTCCCCCAGCTTCATATGCTGAGCATGATGTCATATGGTATGGGATATCCTTTAGGAAGAAAATTAACTCTACCCCAGCTAAAACCAGCACACAGAAAAAGGGTAGTCTTACCTAAAACAGTGACTTTGATTTTCTTGTTACTATTTTCAATCTTTTAGATAGTGGAGAATATCCAGAAACCACGTGATTGTATAATTCTATTCTTATATTGTTTCTGTGTATGTAAGGAGTATTGAAGAATGCTGTTCATTTCCCATTGCTGTATGTGTTTGGGAAAGTAGATACTGAACAGTCAGAATACTACATGACATTATTTTGGAGTTGTGCACATCTGTTGTGCAGTATAGATAACGTTTGTTAGTAATAACGTGGATTTTCATAGTTCTGTAACATTAGTTGATGATTTAGACCAGAGTACAGAGCAAACCCTGAGACATGCTAAATTCATTAAAATTTCATTAAGAGAGAAAACACTGATGGGGGGAGGGTGTGTGGCTACAGTTTACTCTTGTCTCTCAGCTATTAATGTATAAAGTTATAAAAAATAAAGCAATTAATATAATAATGAATTATATATATTGATTGTTCTTCTCACACAGTCCTCCACCCAGCCCCTCAGGAACTATGACCATTACTGCTGGACATGCTCATTACCAATCTGTTCCGGTCTATGAGATGAAGTTTCCAGATCTTTGTGTGTATTAAGTGTCTTCTGAAGTCTGCTGGACATTATTTAGAGTAGAGTACAATAGAAAGAACAAGATGAGTTTTCAAATTTTATTGTTAATTTCATCTAAACTGACTTTAAAATAATGATGGACATGAGCCAAATACAGATTACTTTAGCAAAACCCACGGGACTGTCCCAAGTTGTTTTCTTCTGCAATGTATTTGAAGCTAGGTTTTTCATATGTCATGTTTCTTCATTTTCATATTTGAGTACATGTAAAAGTCAGATTTAAAACTTGTCTTGCCATATAGATGAATATTTCAATTACTCTAGGAATTTGTATTTCTGTCAAGTCCTTTGATTTGAGGCATTGTCATGGAAGAACCTGTTAAAGCTTTTTGCTTTGTTTTGTTTATTGGTGTGTTTATTTCATTCTCCTCTCCACCTCCATTATGTATCTAAATAGAATGCTTTTGGCTTGCTTCATCTTAATAAATGTAACCAGTGGAGCACTACCTTGGCTCCTTTTTGTTCATGATGTCATAGCTAGTCCACTTGTTTCTTTTGGTGTATAAGGAAAAAAACAATACCTTACATGTGTTCAAGTACAGTAAATGAATGAATGGACACATGTTATGTATTTTTTTGATGCATCACGTGACATGCTTTTTAGATATATACACCCAGTATATGTCCTGTGTTTCTTGCTAAAAGTTAACTGCTTTGCCTAAGAGAGGAGAAATGTCCTCTTGAAGCACTGAACTGTGCAATATTTTTCATGTCTTAAGGTGTATGGTTTACAAACTTTACTTTTGAAAATTCAGTAGTATTTTACTGTCTGCTTTAGTATAAATACATGAGAGATATATTTAGTATAGCAGAAAATAAACTGAGGGCATTTTAAATCATACATACAGAAATTATAAATATATTCTATGAGGTATATCTCTGTAGTTTATTACAGCTTTTTAATGATATTTTAGAAATTGAAAGATACCTGAGTGAAACCATTTCACGATGATGAATTTAATACATACGTGTTCTAGCAAAAGCATTTTCAGAGATGCATCTCTGTTTTCGTTTTTGTTTCATTCCTCAAAACTTTCTAGAAATAAGGAAAATGTGGTAACTTTCATAGGTTTATGTATCTGAGTATACTATTCAGATAAAGAAAAACTGATAGAGTAAATCACTGAGCTTTTGATGATAATTGTCAGTGCTGTCTTTATGACTCACTAAATTCTGCAAGCAAAAAGAAAAAGCAGCTTTCATTGATGCCATGAATAGCAACTTTGAAGTCCCTTAATCTGTCTGAATCAAGCAGCATAAACGTGAATGAATGTTCTCAAGTATCTGTAATTAATGTAAGACATTAAGTTAGCCTGCAGTTCAGATAAACAGTGGTCATGCCAGGCACAAAGTGTTCTAACCTCAATTAGCCCTGCTCTGAGCAGGAGCTTGGTTCAGATGACCGTTAGAAATCTCAACCTAAATTAATCTATGATTGCATTAATTGCAAGATGTGTATGATTATCAGGCCAGTGAATTTGCTGACTTTTGGGCATGTGCAAACCCACTGTGAAACAGAAACTAAGTTTTTTGAACTGCAGACCAGTATTCCACAGGGCTATTTTTAACAGCTTGATGTAACGTAACATCAGAGAAATATCAGTTACTTAAACCTATGAGATAACGTGCTGAGACTTTCAGAAAGCATTCACAAAACTCAAAAGGTAATTGAGACCTTCTTTTCAGTTTAACAGTGCAATGACAGCTGTTAGTGGATGACGAAACAGCCCCTTATCTACAGCATTCCGTTGCGATTTTTACTGCTGCAGCGTATCAGCCTGATCAGACCACAGTCTACACATAAATAGGACTCTAGCTTTTAGTTTTCACTTTTGGGTTTTTTTAAGGTAAGACATAATAGGTTTTTGGCCTATATAAAGAGTGTAATTTTTTAAATAGTAAATCGAACCCAGGGTTACAATGTAAACCACTTATCCACTCTGTCATTTTTTAAGAATAACACTGTGCACTTTTGTACAAAAAGAAAATAAAGAGTCTAAGAAATAAAGAATGTATTCCTGTCTGCATCTTGCAGTATGGAGACTGTGCTGTAAATACAGGATTGTTTCTCTGGTGGAATTATGTTGCATGAATGCTGCATGTGAAAATAACTAGATTCAGCATTTCATTTTCTGTTCTGTTCATGAAGTATTTTTCATTTATGCTGATGATAGGTTACCACGTTTTCGGTGTTCAAATGAGCTTTGTTTGGGAAATGCAGGTGTTGTGCAGGTATTGTGCAGGTCATGAAGAGCTTCCATCACTCTCTGTGTTCACATGATGCTTAATTTCTTCCTTCCTGGAAATTCACAGAGTCTCTAAGTTGATAATTGGTTCACTCTGGCTTTTCTAGCCAGCTGGGAGATGGGAGTGACTGTTAAAAAGTATTGTTTTGGTAGCTATTGTACTGTGTAGCTAATGAATGAAACCAAATGAATTAAGAATGCTGTTGTACAGTATGAAGCTGCTTTGTTTCACTTATTTATGTTCTCAGGCACGTTGCAGTACTTAAAAGTATCCATCCTGGCCCTGTGTTACCTGCAACACATTTGAGTACTGTCACGGTGTTTATAAATGGATATCCAGCTGTTTAAATGTGTTCCAGCTTTTGCTTTGAGTTCTCTTTCCCATTGTGTCATTTTGAAAAATTACAGCATTTGGTAGTGGATCACTTTAAATTAAATCCTTTTTAATTTCAAAAGATAGAAATAGCCTGTTTGTCCAAAATCAGAGTAAGGCTAATGTGTCTGTTGTTCTGATGGTCATTTATTCTGTACTGTACGTAATGAACCAGTTTCAGTAAATGTAAGGACACACTGTGCAATCTATATTTAAGCAATAAAATACACCAAAAATTAAAATCAATCTTTTCTAAGGTGTCAGTTAATTTTTATTGCTGACATTCAGAATCAATGACATATTTTTGTGTTTAAAATAGACCTTGTTTTACATTTTTTATTTTTGCACGTTCTAGAATTGCAGCATTATCAAACTACTACTTTTATTTATGATCAAACTACTAGTAATACCAAGACCGCCAAAACTTGAGAGTGCAGCAATACAAAAATCACTTCCTAATAGCAAACAAGTTTCAGGAGGATGAATAAGAGCTTTCAAGGCCTGCCTCCCTGGTTAAGGAACGTATTGGGTTGGTAGTATCAGTTTCAAGGAATAAAGTTGTCGGTGGGTGTGAAGATCTGTATACAGCTCAGCCACAGGTAGTTTTTCAAACAGTGATGCTGTCTGATGGGCCTGAGTGTTATACTGTTGTCTGCTACTCTCTTTTTTTGGTAGTATTTGCCATAGTACAGACAGAGAGAAGCGGGAAGAACAGTTCTTCTTTTCTGTTTTGAGGAAATTGGGACCTTTTCTAGCTCACATGAGATATATCCTAATATATAGTGGATTATACTGTCATTGTTTTTTCCCTTGCTCCTCTGTTCCTAATTTTTGCAGATGTTAAAACTTCATGTATATTTAGGAAATTTTAGAGGATAGGAGTCTTCTTTCTGTCCTTATGGATCTCATGAACCGGCTATTGAAATGTGCTGTCAACGGCCTTTTTTGCTGCTCAGGTTTGTCTGAGTAGGATTTTGGCAACTGATAACCTCAAAACAATCCCGGGAGAAAATAGTAGCCACACTTGGGAGATAATTTCAAATCATATCATAAGAGATTCTGTCACCAACCCCATGAAACCAGCCAAGCAGGGACAGCAGTGGCAGTCACTGCACTTATAAGGCAGAACAAAGGTGACCTGTTAAGAGCTCTTTGTGGGTATGGGGGGAGTTTGTCTGAAGTTTTTGCTTCTTCACAGTGTTGCCCTTATTTGAAAAACTTAACTCATTCATTGCTCACAGGTTTAACAGTACTGTGATCAAGATGACCAGTACACTGCATCTGGTTTCCAGAGTTTGTGTCTTCCTGAATTACGTTGTTTATGAAATCATATTCCTAAATCATTAATACATTATCAGGTTCAAGGAAAAAAAAATGCTTAAAAACTTAAAATAAGTAAATTAGTGTCTAATGAAGGAGGAAATCTTTTTAGATTACAGATTAATAGATTAGTTTATCATGGGGGGAATAACTAGGTTTTGGCCAGCTATGCCCCAAATCTTTGAAAAATCGAGTGTAAAGCTGCTGCAAGAATGAGAGAAGAAAGAAAAAAACCTGTGGTAAATGTCTCATCTTGTTCTGCTTATCATTTTGTTATTATTTTAGCACTGATCTCTGAATAATTTAGCTAATCATAGCAAGATTATTTAGGACTTCTCTTTATCAACACAATTCCTATGGTACTAATTAATCTATGGAACAACTTCGGTGTTAGATGCTTCCTGAAATAAGAGACACTGGAAAAACCCCAAAGGAAGTAATGAAAACATTGCCTGAATAATGTATTACTTATATTGTAATTTCCCTGTTACTTGATCCATCTCCATCTCTGCAATCAGAAGACTCAGCCTATCTCTGAGTGAATATATGCATGTTATTTGCATAACCATGAATGTAATACTAGTTTCTAATAATTAGCAGAAAGGGATGGGGTTTTTTTTATCTGAAGCATGTATTTTAAATGCAGGCCTCAGAGCAGCAGCACTGCTATCATCAATCAGAGAAATGAGCTTGTGTGTTATTAAGCAGCAATGCAGTTAATTCACTTGCTTAAAGGCTAATTTTTCCCTTTTCAGCTGATCAGCTATGACCTTTTCATTATCATTTTTCTTTATAAATGCTCTGAAATATAAAACAGCTTGTCATTACTGTGATAAAAAGCTGATAAAAGTTCCAGTTCTGAAACAAGCAAACGTATCGTAATGCAGATCTCATCCTCAGCACTGGAGAGAAATGGGCATTTTGCAGATTTGTAGCATTTTGCTTAAGTACTGAAATGCCCTTTTCTATACAGCATGATGTCTGGGGGGCACGCTAATTCAAATCTTGTTTGCAGATAGAATTCATTACGTCACTTAGCTATCCCCTCTGCCATCCCTTAAAGAAAAAGCATTTAGGTTCTCCTGTTTTATTCACTAGCGCT